ATTCCTCCTTTTTTAGGAAATAAAGTTAAATTTAGTAAGGATGAAGTTACTAAAACTCAGCAAATAGCAAGACTAAGAATTCATGTAGAAAGAGCTATCAGAAGGTGTAAAGAGTACCATATTTTTGATAATGTTCTGCCATTGTCTGTTGCTGGGACTGTAAACCAGATTTGGTCTGTGTGTTGTTTATTAACAAATTTTAAAGAAAAGTTATTTTGACAGTTATATTTTCAATTGTTTGATACTGTTATAGTTTATGTGTGTGGCATGTAAATGAACATCATCTGCATATTTGATATACCAGACATGCACAAGTGAGAAGGTACACATACCTTTATATTTTCAAAATAGAAACATGGCTTTAGTGTACAACACTTTTTCCTTTGCATGCTGTGGGAAATTGATTTTTCTTTGTAAATTTTCATTGATATGTTTTCAAGTGATATAGATATTTTTGGAAAAAAAATTAATACCATGAGATTTTATCTAGGTTTGGGTAACTTTAAAAATCTAATACAGATATTTTAAATTTGATTTAAGTACAAATTTTTTTATTAATTATACTGTATATGCAATGCTATCATAATTAGTTTTTGTAATCAACTCAATTGGAATTTCATTAAGATTTACGTTGCATAAATTTTTCTTCTTTTTTTTTTTTGTATGAACATAAATGACAACTTTTTTTGAAAAGGACAACGCTTTGAACAAATTTGGATTTGAACAAACTTGAATCTACACTATATAAGGAAGCTTTTGCCTCTTATGGCTATTAAAGTGGTTTTTTTTAGTAGAAAAAAAATAATGATGCCAAATTTTTATTGTTTCCCAATCATCTCCCCATTACATACAAGTATAGAGAGAATGGGATACTTCATTTATAATAAACAGATGACAGACTCTCTTTAATCAGAAAAAAGCTTAATTGAACTTTTGGATTAACAAAATTAACAAAGAAACTAAACAAACAAAAAAAACAGCATGCATGTACTCACATGTACATTTTTTTTTTCTTTTTATGATCCATCCTAGATGTTATTTTCAGTATCGAACACATTTTGGTAAAAAGTAATTGAAGTAAAATATGTCAAGTTTTTGTTTGATTTCCTGCCACTTTCCTGGTACAAAGTTAATTCTTTCCAGATGGTAGTCATCTTTACACCAAATGTACAAATCGCACCACAAAGCACCGGTCAAACCCATTTGACCCATTATCTGATAATAATATTCATGGGAGGATTTTAGTTTGTAGCTGTTATTCACAAGAGTTAAATATTTTAAATTTGTGATAGAATCTGCATTTGGACATTTAATTTCTAAGAGTCCATACATAGGAACAGAGTTGGGGTCTATGACTTTCCTGTCAGGAGAAGTTCCCAGATAAAAACATGAGGGATTGATGACTAAGCCTGCTTTAAACACATTATTTCCTGTTAAAGTGGCGTATGCTTCTGCTGCCTCCTGTTCGTGTTCAAGTCCAAATTTCATTGCTGCTGTTTGAATTTTGTTACTTTTTAATAATGCGTCAGCCAAAGTTTCGAAATCTTTTTTCCGTGAACAAACTCTTTTAAATGTAGATGAAGTAATTCTGTGTTTTCTTGCTGAATTCCAGTAGGGATTTTTAGACTGTTCAATTGTATTTTGTTCAATGTCGTCAGAATCAGTTTTTGACACAGCAAGTCCATCATAAACATTTTGTTCACCCAGATTTAGAGCTGTATTAAAAGTTTGATCAAGAATAGGTAAATTATAACCAGGAAAAGTAGGAAACGCAGGATTGTTTATAATTGAATCGTTACTTTCGTCAATTTTCTTTTGCTGATAAGAAAGAAGGGAACCTTTAGGCACTGGTCCAACTTTTGATTCAATGGTCTCAATGGAATTAATTTTGGAGGAAGGTGGCAGTATGGTTTTAAATTGAGCATTTGTTGCCATTATATTTTGATTGAGAGATTCCAAAATGTTCTGATATGGTATAGGTTGCTGTATTGGACAATAAAATTTTGATTTCACACCATCTGTTCTTTTTATTTTTTTACAGGTAGTTTTCTGAATATGTACATCTTCGACTGCTTCAGGACGGATACCCTCTAACCGTTGGGGTATATGCCATGTTTGAGGCATTGATGTCTTAGATTTGACACATGGCACTGTCTTTAAACCAAGCTTTTGATAGTGTGCTAATGTGTACATAAGGCCTAAAATATGGCTGCAATGTCCAGAGCCTGCTTTACATGTGCAGTTAGAACTTTCAACATTGGTACAAGCTGCAGCTTTTAGGGCAATTTGTAAATTATGTGGGGGATCATTTTTCCTCATAGAAGGAAAGCACTTGGCTCTAATACAAGCACCAGTGCCCCCTGATGTACATGGTCTCACTGAAACAATAGAAGAAGCTTACTTAGCTTCCTTGTAAATGAAAATTGATAAGGAAACAGAAATAAAAACAACCAAGGACAAAATGAAACTGATTTCAAGAAATGATTAGAAATTTGGACAAATAAAATGAAATAAAAATGAATAAAAGAGATAGAAAACCAGGTTGGGATTTATTTGCTACATTAGTAGGAAAGCATCTCTTTTTAGCTCACATGAGCCGAAGGCTCAAGTGAGCTTTTCTGATCACATTTTGTCCGTTGTCCGTCCATCTGTAAACTTTTCACATTTTCGACTTCTTCTCAAGAACCACTGGACCAATTTTGACCAAACTTGGTACATTAAGCATCCTTGGGTGAAGGAGAATTTAAATTGTTACAATAAAGGGCCAAGTCCCCTCACAAGGGGAGATAATCAAGAAAAGACAAAAAAAGAGTGGGGTCATAAAAAATCTTCTCAAGAACCACGACTGGGTCAGAAAAGCTGAAACTTATGTGGAAGCATTCTAGGTTAGTGTAGATTTTAAATTGTTCAAATCATGACCCCTGTGGGGAAGGACAGGGCCACAATGGGGAATCAAAGTTTTGCATAGAAATATATAGGAAAAATCTTTGAAAATCTTCTTCTCAAGAACTTCTGGGCTAGAAAAGCTGAAACTTATGTGGAAGCATCCTTGGGTAGTGTAGATTCTAAATTGTTAAAATCATGGCCCCCGGGGGAAGGGCGGGGCCACAATGGGGAATCAAAGTTTTGCATAGAAATATATAGGAAAAACTTTTGAAAATCTTCACAAGAACCACTGTGCCAGAAAAGATGAAACTTATGTGGAAGCATCCTGGGGTAGTGTAGATTCTAAATTGTTCAAATCATGGCCCCCGGGGGGAGGACGGGGCCACAATGGGGAATCAAAGTTTTACTTAAACATATTTAGGAATAACTTAATTTTGAAAATCTTCTCAAGAACCACTGGGCCAGAAAAGCTGAAACTTGTGTGCACATGGAAGGATTCTGGGGTAGTGTAGATTTCAAAATGTCTAAATTATGATCAGTGGTGTAGGGTGGGGTCGCAATATGTATTACAAGGGGGAAATCTGGTAAAGAACAGAATGGTTAAAGCATCTCAGGTGAGCGATGTGGCCCATTGGCCTCTTGTTTAATTTATACATGTATTTAATGTAAATTTAAGCTATATAAAAACTTGAAATTGGATTTCTTGGTATATAATGTTATACCTCTACAGGACTTTGACATTTGTGAATATGGTAGTGTGGAACATTTTACATGAACATAATTATGGACTTGGTTTTTAAAGAGGAAAAAAAAAAATAGGGGAAAAAGTAACCCTGATGCAGTGCATCAATTCTAAATTATTTGTTGTCTCTGGCCTCTTCAACATACATTTTCCAAGGGATTGTTTCTTTAAATCTGCATGTATATTCACTTTATATCCCAGTATGCACAATGAAAATATTTAAATCCATTGATCTAAATCATAATTAAAGCTTGTCATTCATTCTTTGAAAGTATGTAGCACATGTATATACATGTGTGCATTATTCAATCTGATTGATAGTACAACTGTACATATGCAACTATATAATGTTTACACAATAATATTAATTACATGTGATTTACATGAAGCATTCCAACCAATACTAAAACCAAGACATAACATACCTCGCAACAAGGTTGATAAAAAAATTTAAGAATCCTAAAATTTGAAATGTGTTTTTTTATGTGTACATGTATTTGAATTTAGTTTATAGTAAGCATGTACATGTAGTAACCATCAAATTAAAGTGCTGTATTAGTATATATGCATATCAAATGTTAATTATAAAATATGTACAGTGCTTTGTTTACATTTAAAATTCCATGTTTTATTAATGAAATGCCTTGCAATTTTTCAAAAGGGAAAAATCTATCAAAACAAAGGAATATCAAGACATATAAAATAAATAATAATTAAAAACCAAAAAAAAAACTAAAAACAAAGAAAGAAAAGAAAACAAAGACATATATCAAATGAAAATTGTTAATATTTATTTATTAACAAAATAAAAAAGTAATGTGTTTTATGATAAATGACACAAGGTAAATAATCACAGCATCGATAACGTCTACGTTAAATGGACTTTATTAATTCTTTGCTAACTATATAAGCCACGCCCACTTTAGTGCACGTATACATTTCACATTACGTGGCCATAAATTTCTATATTTTTTCTTTAAAAATGATAACTAAAAGTATGTATTCTCTACTTGTGGTGAATATTTATTGTCTTCCATTCAATGAATTTCAGTAATAATGACAAATATCAACGTAAAGAATTATTTGTATGCTGTCCGATGGTCCATCGTAAAATTGTAAACAAACCTTCGATATCATGTACATATCCTTCAGCAAAATTGCTGTATCCTCTTTTGAGGGATTTATTTGGTATTTTCGACGTGGTCGACCATGCCGATATTACATCGTCGGTTATCCCTGGTACGGTAGCGAGAGAGCGCGTCCACGCTGGATGACCTTCGCTGCACTTCGCCATTTTCTCGTAGTGAAGGACGCTAGTTTGTCAGGTCAGCCTCGGTTTCGTATTTTAATGGCGGACGCGTGAATAGAGTCT